TTCTGTGTCCAGAAGGCACACAGGGTTTTCCATTATCCCTCTGTGTTTCTGAAGTCAGCTGTTCTTTTGTGTGGGTTCTGCAACCCCAGAAATTGTTTTTCCAGTGGCTGGAAGGAGCTGCAGGAATACAGAGGGCTGCTGGGAAATCAGCATTCTGTGCACCCATGGTAGGATACAAGTCAGCATTGGGAACTGCTCACAGGGGATTTTTCTCTTGCCATCAAGGCAGAGAAAGTGTAAAGGTTGTTCTTTTGCCTCAGTACTACTGTCATTCCACAGCGACGGAATAAATTTTTTAAAACTGTTTTTGTGTAAATGATAACTCAGGATGTATGAAGGTTGACATTGTGATATAGAGATCCCTAGTCTGGTGCCTCTGGGCCCCGTGGCAGGAGCCAACACCTTTCCTCTGGTGCCTGCCGAGCATTTTTAGAAAGTGGGAAGGGCCAGGTGGAGCTTTTGCCCAGCAGGGCATCTGATTGGCCAGTGGAGATCAAATGGGTTGTGCAGATTAAAAAGCATGCTGTTAAACAGAGCTTCTGCCTGAAATGCTGAAGATTCACCGTGAGAAATATGCAGAACCTTGCTCCTTGTCATTTTGTTGTTGGCTCCATCCTCTGCAGCAGCCATTTTGTTGTTGCACGCACCATCCTGTGTCAGAATTCCAAAGGTGCCTGTAGGCTCAAAAAAGCTGGGAACTCCTGGTATAGCTGGATCCCAGAGTGCAGGAGCAGCGGTTTAGACTTGGGAGCAGCTTTATGTTCTTCTGCCCTCCTTCATGGTTCTCCCATTGCAGCGCTGATATTAGAAGAAGAATAGATTGGATTTATACCCTGCCCTTCACTACCCAAAGGAGTCTCAGAGCATCTTACAATCTCCTTTCCCTTCCCCTCCCCACAACAGACACCCTGTGAGGTAGGTGGGGTTGAGAGAGCTCTGACGGACCCTGCCCTTCACTACCCAAAGGAGTCTCAGAGCAGCTTACAATCTCATTTCCCTTCCCCTCCCCACAACAGATACCCTGTGAGGTAGGTGGGGTTGAGAGAGCTCTGACAGACCCTGCCCTTCCCTACCCAAAGGAGTCTCAGAGCAGCTTACAATCTCCTTTCCCTTCCCCTCCCCACAACAGACACCCTGTGAGGTAGGTGGGGTTGAGAGAGCTCTGACAGTCTGCTCTTTTTCAAGAACAGCTGTGCCAGAACTATGGTTTGCCCACGGTCATCCAGCAGGAGCAAATGGAGGAGTGGGGAATCAAACCTGGTTCTCCAAATTAGAGTCCGCGCACTTAACCACTACACCAAACTGGCTCTCTTTTACGTGTCAAAACATGAAATAGACTTTTGTGAAATCTACCACCTTTTGCAAGCCGCCCTGTATTCCACTATCTTTTGTCATTACTGTAGGTGTCGAGGAGTACTCTCTTCACTACTTTTTCTGTAGAAAGACATGTAGTTACTTAAAGTGCGACATGGGTGGCTTCTCCCAAGTTCTGAGATTCCTCCTTCTGAGGATGTGGCAAGCTCCAAGCTTGGGATAGGCATGGAGTTATTTTAAGATTTTATCACTGTGATTTCTATTATAGAATGATTATTATCTGTATTAGTAGAAAAGAGCAAGAGTCCAGTAGTGCCCAAAAGACTAACAAAGTTTGTCATCTGAAGAAGTGAGCAGTGACTTGCAAAAACTCATACCCTGCCCCAACTTTTGTTATTGTATTATCTGTATCGAACCTCAGCAGGGAAGCATGTATTTGAAATTTGAAGTATAGCAAAGTTGTTATGATCTGTGCAGGGCTGGGAGACGGGGCCTAGTGCGGCCTGGTTCCAGGAGAGACCTGCATGGCAGTGGAAAGCAGACATAGCCTACAATCCCCACAATCCTTAGTGATGGATGTAACCAATCATCAGTGTCCAGGGATTCCTGAGGCGATTGTTACATACTTTGTGGGTTGTGGAAAAACCCTTCTTCTCAGAGCTAAACTGAAGGGGACTGTGTTCTTTTGTTTCTCTTCTGCGGTCTGGTCTCACAGAGGGGACAGGCTGGTCTGGTGAGAGAAAGATCCCTCACTTGGGACAGAGTGAGAACAGGTAGCATAGCCTGGCAGGCTGTGGGCCTTGAAGTAGTAACCAGTTAAGCGAAATAGGTAGTCACGTTAGGATAGTGTTTATTTTGCCTTTTAAACACTGTTATATCTTTTAAAGCACCTTGTTTTGGTTTTTCCCCCCAGTACTGTGTTAATAAAGCATTTTGTTTAATTGTTATCTGCCTGGTCATCACGCCTATGTTCTAGGCTTAAAAAGGGGCATTTTTGGATGGGCTTGGGCACTGCCCCCTATATATACAGGGGGTGGTGGCTTGGGAGGGTCTTCTCAAGGGACTCGAAGTCCAGAGTGGTGGCGGTGGAAGGTGGCGACCCCCCTGGGGTCATGACAGAAGTAAACGGGTGAAGAATGTGCTTCTTTATCTGGTTATTGTAGTGGCTAAGTATCCAGTATGAGTCTGTCTCGGTCACATATCACTTCAGCTGTGAACATAACTGGGTAGTCTGAGAACCAGCCTCCCCCTCATCCCTCTCCAGCCCCATTTGCAGAAAGGCCAGTATCATTTCCTCCAATCTTACAAGGTTGCTCTAAAGGTTACTTGATAAGTATATGGGAAACCTTTTGAACTGAACTGAAGCACTGTGCAAATGTTAAGCGTAGTTATTGATTACCATTATCAGAGAAAGGAAGAGCTTAGGTTAACATTCCTCATCATCTCCATCCCTCTAACTCTAGAAAGAAATGTGATACATGCTAGTTGTTTTTATTTAGCTCTTGTATTGCAGGTAAATTTCCGAAGAATTACAGTTTCTGTGTTTAGCTATGTGTTTAAATTAGCACAAGCCACATTCTGGAATCCAAATTGTCCTCCTTTACATATTACTTAACCCATGAATACCAACGGGTGGACTAGGAGACTGATGTCCTTTGATGACATGAGGGAGGGCAAGTTGTGTGAGGTGCCTGGCTTAGACAGACATGGCATTACCATTGGGCTGGCTGGGAAGGTGAGCTCGTCACTACCAACCGGTGAATTGCACAACTGCCCAGCAGTGGGACTGGGATATGTGTGTTGTTTAGTGGCAGCCACCACTGTTCAAACAGCTCGCACAACGGTGGCCACCAATGCTCCCTCTAAGCTGTGGAGTCTTGTGAGCAAAAATTCTACTTGGTGAGCTACGGGCACTAAAGTTGTGAGCGAGCCATTTGACGCCTGCATCAATTAGTCTGCTCTGGAGCCACATCCTTCCTGAGCAAAGATGAAAATGTGTGAGCCGGAGGCTAAAAAACTGTGAGCTAGCTCACCCTAACTCAGCTTAGAGGGAACACTGGTGGCCACCACTGGGTCCAGCTGAGTCACTTGCAACCACTGGATGAGTTGTCTGGACCCAGCAGCTGTGGCAGCACTGCACGTCAGCTAGGCTAGGCCCGACAGCAGGCCTGTCCCATGCCAGTCTTCCAGGGCCAGTTGCTCTAGTTGCAGTTATGCAGAGACAGGGGGCAAGAGACAGGGTACTCATGCCAACTCTCATTCTCCACACATTGGCTTAACATGCAGAGGGGGGCAGGGTCAGCATAAGTCTCTGTCACAGCTCTCTGTTTTCCAAACTGTTGCCTTTTGATAGTTGTAGAAATCCTTTAACCGAGGAGACCACCTCAATTTGCCTTACAGTCAGGGTGCCTCTGGAACTTATACGGGTCTTCTCCTCCCACCCCTCATTAATACCTTGGGAAATTGCTGCTGGTTCCAGCTTTTTGGAGGATGTTTTGGTGGTATACAGAAGGGTGTGTGTGTGTGTGTGTGTGTGTGTGTGTGTGTGTGTGTGTGTGAAATGTTCCTGTGGATTGCCTGGACCTGGATAGCCCAGGCAAGCCTGATCTAAGATCTTGGAAGCTAAGCAGGGTCGACTCTGGCAAGTACTTGGAAGGGAGACCTCCTTGAAACACCAGAGGCAGAAGGTAGGGGCAGGCTTTATTTAGCCACCTCTCTGAATATCCTCCAGGCCCCAAGTAGGGGTCAGTCACTAGAGGTCGCCATGACTTCCAGGTGCACACACACTCACACGTGCACACACACACACACACACAAATACAAGAAAATACCCCCCCAAATGTTCCTGTGGATACACAATCTGGGTGTGTCATGTATCCATTAAAATTATACCAAAGCTATTTTGGCTGTCTCTAACTGAGTCAGCATGGTATGGTGGTTTAGAGTGGAGGACTTTAATCTGGAGAACTGGGTTTGATTCCCCACTCCTCCACATGAAGCCTGCTGGGCCAGTCACAGCTCTCTCAGAACTCGCTCAACCCCACCTACCTCACAATGTGACTGTTGTGGGGAGAGGAGGGGAAGGCAATTGTAAGCTACTTTGACACTCCTTTAGAGAAACGGTAAAGGTTCCCTTGCTCGAAAGCCAGTCGAATCCAACTCTAGGGTTGCGGTGCTCATCTCCATTTCAAAGGCAAAGAGCCAGCGCTGTCCGAAGACGTTTCCGTGGTCATGTGGCCGGCATGACTAAACACCAAGGCGCACGGAACGCTGCTACCTTCCCACCGAAGTGGTACCTATTTATCTACTTGCAATTTCTTGCTTTCGAACTGCTAGGTTGGCAGGAGCTGGAATTAGAGACGGGAGCTCACTCCGTCATGCGGCACACTCGGGTCTCAAACTGCTGAACTACTGACCTTCCACAGCCTGCAGTTCAGCGTCTTAACCACTTGAGCCACCTTCCTTCCTTTAGAGAAAAGCGGGGTATAAAACCCAACTCCTCTTCTTCCCATGATCAGTGAGAGCTCCAGGATATCAATGTTTTCATTAGACAGCTATTTGAACTCATGAGATCTTCATGGGAGGGGAAGGTTATTCCTTACTGTAGTGGTCTCCTGTTTTCATTTGCTCAGCTCTCTGGGTTTTGTAACAGTTCTTAATGTATGTACTTTTTTATTGCTCTTCAGATGAGTATAGGATCAAACCTGTGGAAGAGGTCAAATACATGAAAAATGGGGGAGAAGATGATCAGAAAATAGCTGCCAGAAACCAGGAAAACTTGGTAAGTGTTCAATGTTATCACTTATTTAAGAACTTGGAGGTGGCGCTGTGTCTGTAATGAAATATGTAGTGCACGGAACACGAGTGTGCTGGAGATGACCGTTCTCGAAAATGCCACCACTATTTATAGCACTCAGGGAAAGTGCCCAACGGTTCCTTCCCCTGCTTGTCTTAATGAATTATCCCATTCTTGATACTGTGAAGTGGGCTCCAGCAAACTGGGCATTTGTATTCAGTCCCTTTGCAAGTTGTAATACAGTTTGGCTCGTGATGAATGTGTTTGGGAGCAAAGGAGTTGTTAGACGCACAGGAATTTACTACCTTTTGAGAAGGAAACTACCTACATTTAAGGAGATGGCTGTCAGCATTTGCTCTCGGTGTTCCTACCCTGTGTTTTAAAGAGTGCAAAGTCAGACAGTTCAGCATGTGTAATATGCTTACTGCAGAGAATCCACAGAAATCAATGTTTAGTCATTGGTTTGTAAATAAGGGTTAATTTCTTACTTTGGGCTTTTTAGTTCGGGTTACCTTCCAGTTTTGTACTTGCATATTGCCGGTGTTCTGTGTGCACCATCGTTTTTCAGGAAAGCAGGAAGGGAACAGAATTTAATTCTTTTTTAAAAGCAAGTTTCTAGACCTTACAGTTGCAAAAATATGATTGCACATGTGTCAGAGGCCAGATATGTGAAGTACATAGATTTCCAGAGATTGGGAATAGTGCTTCTGTAGAGATACCTAGTTTCTTGCACCCTCTCTAATTATGGAAAATTGGAGAAATTGTGCAAATGTGTTAATTTGCATAATTTATAAACTCCGCATAATTCTACTTGCTTTGATTCAGAACCTGGATTGCATAGGGGGAAGACTTACCCCACTGATAAACGCACTCCTGCATGGTAGGATTTTCTTTTGGATTTGTTTTTCCAAGGTAGTATCTCTCATGTACCTAGCAGTTCAAAAGCAAGAAATTGCAAGTAGATGAATAGGTACCGCTTTGGTGGGAAGGTAACAGCGTTCTGTGCGCCTCGGCGTTTAGTCATGCTGGCCACATGACCACAGAAATGTCTTTGAACAGCACTGGCTCTTCGGCTTGGAAACAGAGATGAGCACCACCCCCTAGAGTCGGATTTGACTAGCTTTCAAACAAGGGAAACCTTTACCTTTACCTATCTCTCAGGATGTATTTATGTTACAGCCTTATAATGGTTTTGTGTCCTTGTCATTGCCTACCCTGAAAGAATCTTGGGAGCTGTAGTTTGGTAAAGGTACTTAGAACTTTCTGTCACAGATTTCTATCCCCTTTCTCACAGAACTGCCATTTCCTAGTGTGAGGAAATGACGGGCATCTCTGTTGTGGATATTACATTGGTGGCTCAGATTCTCAGGCAGCAAGGTTTCAAGAAATGTCTCTCTTTGCTGAGAACCTGGAGAGCTTCAGCCAGTTGGAGTAGACAGTACAAAGCTGAATGGAGCAGTGGCCTGATGTGGTATTAGACAGCTTTGTATGTTATGCATTTCTGCCTTCAGTGAACCATTTTCTTGTTAACTTGTCCATGACAGAATGCTTGCATGTTGCAGAGGATCCTGAGCCATATTCCATATGTTACACAGGTGCTGGAAAGCCATTGCCTTAGGGAAATGGTCCACACTTTCTTTTGCTACCAAAGAGGCCAAGAACTCTCTTGCTTTTCCCTGGGGGTTCTCAGCTGTTTTAGGATTCCAAGGAAGGAAAGTGTGTTTTGTTCTGTTATCTTCCAGTCCCGCCAAACATCGAGGTTGTTTTGATGAACAAATATGGGTGTGGTAATATAAATTATGCAGAGCTGTTTTCCGGCTGTAAGTGATCTAGGAACTTGCTTTGTGAAAAGCTAGAGGAAAATAAAAAGGGTTTGTAACTTTCCGGCAGTATGGGAGTCTTTGTGTGATGGACATAAAATCAAAAATAAACAATACTGTTCACTGTAATTAATACTTTTATTCTTAGGGCTGCTGTTTAATAACTACCATTTTTGTTTACTGAAACAACATGCCAGTTCTGGATTTAGTATAGGCTTTAGTAATGTGTTGAAGGTGCAGGATATGGATAAGCCTCTCTCTCTCCTGCTTTTTAAAGCATATTTTAGGTTGGGAAGGAAATGGCTGCAGTACTAATCAAAGCAGATACTTCAAGAGATTTTTTTGTGAAGGAAAGTGAATTACATCCTGATGGTGATGTAAACTGGAAAAATATCATTGCTGTTCCACATAAAACTGCTGTTTAAAGTTGTATGGAGTCTATAGATGCATAAGTGAAAGTAGTTTTAACACAGATTTAAAAATGTAAACACAGCAAACAGCTTGGGGTAGCACTGTTCTTTCCCTGGGTCTAGTGAGGTGGAGGGAGTCTCAGGCAGCCAATGCTCTTCTTTCTGGCCCAGGCAAATGGTGATAGTGCTACTCCTGTGTTAGTATTGCTGTATGTAGTCTAGAGAAAGGCTGTCATAGTACCCACATATCTTATGGGCAGACATGTACCACTCTGTATGTATTCCGTTCCTCCCTATGTGCAAGACTTTCTTTTTATGCTCGCTTCTGTTTCCTGTGACTGGTATGGCTTCTTTTCTTTTTTTTAAGCCCCCCTTTTGTTTTTACTTTAAGGCCTAGTTCCCCCCTCCTTCAAATCTGAAGTAGCATCTCAAGTCTGAAAACAGCAGATTGCCAGCTGCTCAAATATTTATTGAACTGTCTACAGTTATTCTGAGTGAGTGACTTTTTAAAAAGTGTCTTTGCTGCGCAGAGGGTAGTGTATAAATACAACTTTTGAAAGGTGGTGGTAGAATGAGGGTTGCTAAGCCACATCCTGCAATCCCTGGAAGCAATTTGGGGGGGCGGGTTGCAGGGCTTGGTGGCACACGTACATCACTTCCAGCTTAAACTGAAAATTGCACAAGGGAACTCTAGCATTTTGCGAAAACTCAATGGTTTAATGTTAGAATTTTTCTGGAATGCTAGAGAGTCCTGTGTCACTTATGAGGAATGCTAAGGTGCCAGGACGCCCCCCCCCCGACCTCTCACTGGTGTCTGAGACACCAGCAGGTATCAAGGGAATTACTGGGAGCCCTCCCACTGTTGCAGGAGACCTGGCATCCCTAGGTAGAACCCTTGCTGAAGCTACCTGCCTCCCCCCAACATGCAGGTAAGAGATTAGCATAAATAAGGAGTGAAGTTATAAAGACCCATTAATTTTCACATGAAAGAACTCATTGTTTTAGCTTGACAACAGTGCATCATAATATCCTGTTTAACATTCATAACAGGAGTGCTATAATTGCAGTACTAATGGCATTTTCACGTACAATGTTACCTCTGAGAAAGGTAAAATGAGATTGATAGTCTTTTCACATCATTTGGCATTTGTCTTACCCAATGAGGCCATATTGGTTTGTTGTATTGAGACTCCTTTGAATTACCCGTAGGGATTTGAGTTTTTAAATCCTAAAACGATTGTATAAACCATCTTTTTGATAGCCTTGTTCAATAATTGGGCTTTATTTGGGCAATGAGCTAAAGATTACATTTTGCATTTGATTCACTGTCTCTTAAAACTGGTAGAATGAGCCTCTGTTCAGGCTTTGAGCAACTGGGAATTCAACAGTGAATACTGACTTTACATAGGCCTGGCTCAGATATTTGGTCCTGTTGTAACGTTCTTTACGTGGCTGGGACCAGGACTAGGCCTCAGAGGCACATACACCTTGCACCACATTAATGACATAATATGTGAGCCAGATGGTTGCACATATCCCCTGTTGGGACGGGAAGGGATAATTTGGAATGGGCAAAATGCCCACACAAGCGCAGCTCACACATGATGCCATTTGCTTGGTGCTCAGTTGGCTGTACTCCCAAGGTCCCTGTCTTCACCACAGGGAGTCCATTATCACAGATGTGAATATCTGAACTAGGGCTTTCTGTAGAATTTGAGCTCAGAGTGCCTTAAATATGTCCCAGGCAGACAAACCTGGGCTTTCTTTTAATAAATACATCTATTTTGAGAGTCTGGGAAGAATAGGGTTGCCAGGTCCTCTTGCCATTGCGGCAGGTGGATTTGGGGGGCATTCTGGGGATGGGCGGAACATTGCCCGCAACATCCCAAATGCAGTGATGTCACCAGAAGTGATGTCATTGTGTTGGGGACATCGCATAATGATGTCCCTGTTTGGGGGTGGAGATTCCCCCACCGGCCAATTGGCCAGCAGATTGAAGCCCCCAAAAGCAGGGGGAACTGGGGCCTAGGGCCTGGCAACCCTAGGGAAGAAAGAAGTGCTAAGAAAGTAAGTGTGGTGGATCTGTCTACTGGATGTTCCCTTATTATACTATATAGTTATTTTAACATGATCCCTTAGAGAAAACCCTTAGCTTTAATTTCACTTTTCACTTGTTATGTTGGTTGCTTGCTGTGGCTGGTTATGGGCCCAGACAAGGCCTTGCCTATAGTCTGATAAAAGTTCCAAACGGTTCTAGTGCCAGGCGCTGTGAACTTAATAAGTTTTTTTAGCAGCAGCTGCTAAAACATTTTTAGGTTTCTTTCTGCTGCTGATTCTAGTACTAGATGGGAAAAGACTTGAATGGTAATCGGCCGACAGGAGGAACCTTTTAAGGGGCAGTAAACATGCAGCACTGAACTGCTGTGCTTCAAGCTAGGTAAAGGGTATCAAGCAGCATGTTCTCCTGGTACTCTCTTGACTTACCTTTATTCAGTAGAGGAACAGAGAGAGCCCTGGTGTGGAGAAGCTCTGATTTTTGGAGCAGCAATATCAGCAATCTAATACAAAGCTTTTTTATACTGTATTAGTAAAGCAGCAGTATCAGGAAGAGAGAAAACTAGTTGTTTTTATTGTATTTTGTGTATTATTCTCTATTTCGAGCCCAGGAAAAGCAGGAAGTAAATCCCTTAAATAGGGAAAGGTGGGTTGTGTGGGTGTGGGGGGGATTAAGAAATTGGACGGGACGTTGAAAAGA